CAATAGGCTTACGGCGTTGCGTCTGCGAGAAAAAAAGCGGAAAAGACGGCCAAGTAGATGCTTTTGAACGTTGTGAAGACTAGAAAGTGAGAACTAGGCATTTTCCACAGGTTTTTAAATATGAACGTTATATATGAGTTCCATTTGAGGTCTGGGGTGAACTTGAGTCCCAATAGACATTCAAGGCAAGAAGCCTCATTGAAAGGACAGCCATAGATACAATACGGAACTCTTTGAAAACCAGTCGAATTTTACACGGGATTTAATAGAAATTACCTTTAAGCCGATATTACAGGTTTTAACTTGTAAACAAAAACATATTTTATTCGAAATACTTATACTATACAGTGAATTTTTGCAGTACAATTTGTGAATTGTTTATCATACACACACACACACAACTTCTCCTTAAAAACAACTTCAAAAATATATTTAGCCAATACCAAAACTGATCCAAAATTAACCATGAAAAAAAAAAAAAAAAAAAACAAATGAAAAACTTCAGGCTAAGTTCAACTTCCTCAGTCATTCACACTTATAGTTCACGGCTACTAACAAGCATGATTTATTTCTTCTGATGATGGCCATGCTGGCCGAAACTAGTCGAGGAACCGAATTAAAAAATAAAACAAAAGTAGTAATATACAAGCCTGAGTGGCTGAAAATTTGTTTTTTAACAATTTTTATTATTGAGTACACAAATACACACACACACACACACACACACACACACACACATATATATATATATATATATATATATATATATATATTAGAGTGGTTAATTCAGCCATATTTTTAATTTATTAGTTTAAACGTTATTTTTAATCGATAATCATATTTGAGAAGATGCTCTGCTTTTTGAAAAGAGTATATTTATTTATTTATTTCCATCTATGTTGAATATTCAGGTCAGTAGATGTAAATAAATAAATATGCTATAAATATAAATAAATATACAATTTTCTAAAGAAGCAATAGATGTCTTATTCATTAATCCGGCAGATTTTATCACTTAAAACATTATTTTTAATGGATACTCGTATTTGATAAAATCTATCGGATTAATGAAAAAAAAAAACAATACTCCTTTAGAAAATTGCATTATTTACGTTTGGATACGAAACTGAGAAAATTTCGTGAGTTTATGACGAGAAAGATAATATAATAATAAAAATGTAAAACAATAGACCAAATCAATAAATAAAAGTGCATCTCTGCATATTTTATTTTGAACATAATCTCATCTGTGAAATCGTTTATTAATTTCGATTAATTAATTTAGATATATTTTAAAAACATATTAAGAATGTTATTAATTATAAATTAATATTCAAATTACATAGAAAATAAATGAATAATTTACAAATCCTGTCTCTCGCGATACCTATGCCTCTCTCTCTCTCTCTCTTTCTCTCTCTCTCCTTTTAACACTTTCCCCCTTCTCATTTCTCATTGCTTACTTTTCACTCTCCTTTCTTCCTCAACTGGATGTAACTCAGTCTTTTATTCTTTCTATCCTCCTCCCTTAATCTCTTTTTGTCTAACCGTTTTTATTGTTTCATTACCTTCTTCACTCTTCTTTTTTCTACTTCTCTCTCTTAACTGTTTGCGTCTTTTTTTCTCTTTCAGTTTCCTTGGGGCTTTCCGTTATTACACATCCTATCTCCCTCTTTCTTTATATCAGATTCTCTTTAATATTATTATTATTATTATTATTATTATTATTATTATTATTATGTTGGTGTCGCATATTGACGTAATCAACGGAAATTCTGTTCTCGTAGCATGGTGTCAACAAAGACTCTTCACGAATTCTTCGTCTTCTTCTTCTTCTCATTATTATTATTATTATTATTATTATTATTATTATTATTATTATTATGTTGTTGTTGATGATAAAATCTTAGCTCCTACCCACAGCTTAGAGATACAACATTTTTTCAGCACATGATCTCTTCCAAGCAGTGCTGCCACCTGAGGACTCCCAGTGATGTCAGATATCTCCAAGGCGCTCTGCGTAGCAGGAAAAAAACTCTAGGAAATTAGAAGTACACAGATCACAAAAAGGGCAACTTTGGCTACTGCTCGGTATATTTGTCTTGCCAGGTCTTATCATTTTCGACTGCTCTGCTTTTGCGATGTTCCTGTTTCAAGACATCGCAATATCAGGATCCATTCATGACTGGTCCTGTGAGATATCAGGTCGATTGCTCTCCAAGCCCATGTCAATCAAAATGGTCGTATTCCACGTGAGGTTCATTTGCACAATCTCATCTACTGAAAGTGTTGAATGTTCGTATCATTTCCCTGCGCACCTGGCGTCACACTTCCTGCATAGTTCGCAATGCATTCTGGGTGCAATTTTGTCACGGTATTGACTTTACTGTTTTTGCGTCAACTGGGTGCAGTCACTGACAAATTGTTATACACAAAAATAAATCAACTGTTCCGTCAATAGCATACATTATTATTAGTAGTAATACTTGTAGTATTAGTATTTCTATTTTATTTTGTCATTTATTTGGTAGAACCTCTGACCAATTTATTACACGAGACCTACGATAAAGCTACGTAGTAAATATATACATTCTGTTTTCACAAGTTCTGGTGTGTTTTTTTATTGATACTTAAAATGTAGACATGGAGGCACGATGGAGTAACTTATTGCGGCTCTGGTTGAGGAATAAAAAAAAACCGAGTTCGAATTCCAGTCGAGTTCATTGCATTCACTTACGTGCTAAGGCTCTTGGGAAAAGTAAAATCCACCACTTCCTTCTAGCTATGGGTAAATAACAGGACAGACTGGACCATATAGCTTTGGTTGGTAGCCAGTCTAGGAGAAGGAAAACTTTGAATTCAAAACCACCTACTGCCTTGTTTCTTTAACCTCTGAGAGGATGAACGGGGTAACCTCATCATTCCTGGTGCAAAAGGAACCTGCCTTGAATGTTACCATGAACCACAATTGCGAGATGGAGGGAAATGGTGACTACAACGGCGCCAAATGCGCCAAATGAATTAATGAAAAACATGCAGACTACTTATATTTTCTTTACATTGATTAACATTACATTATCCTGAGTAGATGAACAGTTCAACACAGTGCAATTTTAATCTCCCGTAAAATTGAATTCATTCTTCTGCTTGGCTGTATCTTTAGTGATCATTACCAGGGTTCCAATTATTATAGGTAAAACAGTAATCTTAAGGTACCACATTTTGCCGGTTTCAATTTCCAGATCCATATACTTACTTATTTTGTCATAGCTCATAACAGATCTGTTTTTATCTAATGACATTGCCATAGCGATGAGAAGACATTTATTTCTATATTTTTTTAAGTGTTTAATCATAATGTTTGGTCTGTTATCTTTTCCTGTCTGTATGAATTGTAAAATCCCAAAGAATAGTGATGTTCATAGCATTTTTCAGCGTCTAGTACACTGTAATATCTTCATTTCTTCCGATGAGCTATACAATCTATCATATCATTTTCCGTAGACCTCAAAGATAGTGGTGTCAAGACTGGACAATAAAATAGTCAATAGTTTCGACATATTGTTCACATATTAGGTCTTCAAAGTTCTTTATGTTTGCTTGATAATTTCTGGTATATGGTCTTTGGTTCTGTTAAGCCATTATAAATGCCCCCCTCTCTGTTTTTAGCCCTGCGCTCTCCAGCCACTGATGGGTTTTGTATTTATCTATTACTTCTGATGTAAGTTTTTTTTTTTTCCCCCATGTGTTTTGTAAATTGTTTAACCTTTGTGTTTTAACAACCATCTTTAGTAGCATTTGTTGGGTACTTTTTTTTATTTCCACCAAATTGATGCTTAGTTCCTGTAAAAATTGTTTTCTTTGCTATTATTATTAATTGCACATTTTACTAGATTTGGTTCACTTATTGGTTATCAAGCTACTTCCCGCAAATGTCTTTTTTTCAAAATGGGCCGTGTCTCTTGAGAACGTAGGTGGTCATGGCCTTCCACATCTTCCTATTTTTTGTAACCCTTAATAAGTTTTGTCTTTTTTTTATTTCTACCACCCATTTACACAAGCCTATCGCGCTGTTTTCCTTTGTCCCTTTCCCTCAATCTGTCCTGTGAGTATCCGATTTTCCAAGCCCTCCTTCCTCATTACGCGCCCCAGAAATTTTAACTGCCTCTTTCTGATGCTAAGTATAAGTTTCCTTTTTGTTTCCATTTTCTCTAAAACATCGTCGTTGCTCGCATAGGTATCTATTATTATTATTATTATCATTTTATTCGATTTTATTCTTACGGTTTGTTGCTCGTATTTTCCATTCTTTTCACGCCTCGTATTTTCTCACCTGCTTAACCTCCCTATCTTTACCCGACGCTCAATAAAAATAAAAAAAAACGGCGAAAGAATGGTAGTTTTTTGACGAAGTAGAAAGGGTGTTAAACAGCCATTTCTTTGTAGTTTTCTGTTTTTATTTTATAAAGATAGTGATTTCTCATCCCACGCTCAAAACTGATTACCGCTTCTTATATTCCGCCATTGTCAGTCTGTTTTTCTCACCTCTTTCAGCCCCTATCTATCTTTCATTTTCACGCGCGCCTCGACGCGTTTCAAGAGCTGATCTATCAGAGCATTTTTTCTATGTAACGAGTTCAATCAATCAACTCAGAGCGCTCCACTCTTTTTTCCCTGTGCCAGACTAAGTTGATTAAATATCCTATTTTCCCATCTCAATCCTTTTTTTCCCTTTCAATTTCTATTGTTCTCCTCTTCTTGTTTTCATTTTCCCTCGATTCATCTTTAAGTTTCCTTGCCTTTTTCCTTTTCTACCAAACGCCACTTATTTTCTCACAATCGTCTCTTTTTATACAATTCACTCCTATTCTTAGTAGACCCCCTCTTTCTCTATTGATTCCGCTGTCTTTCGCAATACTTTTCTTCTTTTTCTAATCTCAAAACTTCTATCTCTTCCCCGTCACTGTCTCTTTCTTTCTTTCTTTCTTTCTTTCTTTTAATTTCTCACTCTTTAACTCTTTCTCTCTCCTTCAGTTTCTTTGTCTTGCATACATGAACCGCCTTTATTTATTTATTTATTTCTTCTCTGACTTGCTCCGTAACTTCTTTCTTTCTTTCTTTCAAAGCCTTTATTTTTATACTAACCTTTATACACCTACTTGCCTCTTTTTGCTCATTCGCCCTCTCTCTCTCCCTCTATCTCTCTCTCTCTCTCTCTCTCTTATTCAATTAGCTCTAATAGAGATTTATTACTCTTTCTCTGTAGCTCTCTCACACGCTTATTTTCTCTTATTACCGATTACTTTATCTTCATGAGCTCTCTCTCTCTCACTCTCTCTCTCTCTCTCTCTCTCTCTCTCTATCTCTCTTGATTATTTTTGTTGTTTTTGTTTTTGTTTTTTTCACTTCTCCGCTTTATGCAGCAGCAGCAACCTACTCTTTCTAACTCTCCATATTCCAAATAACCTCCATTCGCGGCTTGATCCACATCATGCAGACTCACAAAATTTCATTGATCTGCCAATTCCTTCCTTTTGATCTTGCGTCACTTCTCATTCGCCCTCCGAGTAGCATGGCTACAATCCGACATCGTCGAATGAGAGGCACCCACATACAGCCAGTACAACATCTACGAAAGCTACAGAAACGATCATAAACAAATACTAAGAGTAAAAAAAAAAGAATTCGTGATTGTTCAAAAGGTAATGAGATGAGCCACAATCACTGTGCGAATGAGATAAAGTCACGGACGTTATCGGAAGCAGACGTGACTGCACGAATAACCCACGAGATCTGAGCTTAGAATACTCTCCTGGTTTGACATAAGTCTGTTGAGTTGTCGTTCGCTTTAAATGTGATGAGAATCCATTTCTAGATCCGTTTCAACGTTGTTAATGAACGTGAAATCATTTATGGCGTTGTACCCCGTGGGAAAGTTTCTCTGATCAGTTGATCATTTTCGCTTGGAAATGTTTATAGCTTCTTCGTTCAGGCTAAAGAATATTTTACAAGTAAGCAGATATACTGCTGTCAACAAACTCTGAAAGAAAGAAATGAATTGTTGTTGTTGGAAAAAGACGTGTGTGTACGGAAATTTAATAAGCTTAGGTTAGATGTAGCACAAGGCCAAATGTATGGGCGTACTCAGTGAGAATCGCTCTCACTATTTAGTCGTAATTGTTCTAGCGAGACAAGCGTGCTAACCATTACACCACGTCGAGGTGTTCAGGACGTGTGCGTATGCGTGTACGCGGATCAGCGAGAGAATGATTTTTTGTGTAGAAATAAACAGAGCAAGGTTCGAGCCTAGAAAACAAAAATCACAATATTTTGGATTTGGCACAAGTTTGACTCATAAGTGGGGGTCTCATGTTTGAATAAAACCGGAGACCAAAAAATAACCCAACGTCCTTGATAGTTCACCTTGAAGAGATGTCTCAAGCCAGATATTGATCCTATTCCTACTCTTGACAGAGTGGTAGTACCTGGGGAGCTGCTCACCCCTGTGGGTGTTAATTTTTCGTCTTAGGGGTAAAAGGCTGGGCGAGTCAAATAAGACCAGATCTGATGATCGGGAATAAAAAAGAAAGAGCCTGCTAGATCATGAACGTACTATAGAACAAATTTGAAAAGAGTGAGAAGTTAAAGAAACACATGGATTATGCCCGTGACCTGAGAAAGATATAATATTTTAAAGTTATAGACGTACTCATTAATAGTAGATGTACTTGGAACTGTGCCCAAAACAGTGAAATCGAGTTTGAACAAGTTAGAAATTCGAGTGAACACACCAGAGCGTAGTTAGGGTTTGGTTTATGAGGATACTGAGGAAGGTGCTGGAGAACTCAAGGGAATTACTGTTACACATATTCATTTAACAACAACAACAGCAACATCAACAACAACAACAACAATAATAAATAGTACAGCCTCGTTATATTATGTGAACATAATTCTGAGGGATTATTGGTCACTTAGTGTTTGGTTTTACAATTTTGTTACCAAAAGAATAGAAAGATCAGCATAAGGACGGACAGTATTGGAAGATATGTTGCTATTATATTACACCGCATGTCGAAAATGGCATGAACCGGTCACAAAATGCCATGAAGATAGTATTTGGGGAGAAATTACATTTTATACTGACAGACATAAAATCTATTAAACTAGACATTGTGATTAAAGACTATATACAAACAAAATGTGTTTTTATAGATATGGCAGCGATATGAGATAAAAATTTATCAGTCTATATTTCTGAGATGGGGCATTGTAATTATTTACACTATTTACATAGATGAAGATAACACTCCGAACAATGTTAATAAAAATATATCAGTTAAAGAATATGACAAAATAAGTAAATATAACGATTTTGTCAATGAAATTGCAAAATATATGGCAACTTCAAACTAGTTATAACTATAAATGGATCCCTGGGTACAATCAAGAATGGTACATTTTTTCCTTACTAATGTTCACTCAATACAAGGCCCAAGAGTCACTCAAGGTAGAGGGTGTTGTAACCTAGAGAAGGTTACTGAATAGAATAATCACACGAAAATTGTTAGTGAACGATAATACTTAGAACAAGAACAGCACACATAAGATTCGCCAGCGGCGCGTAGAAGAAGTATTCAACTGATAGAAGTGAGTCAAGTGAATTCCACAATGAATCTTCAACTGCAGGATATCTACCAACCACCACACGCATAAGGCCAAAGTTAATGTGGGGTATCCGAACCCGTAGGCTCGGACAACAATTCCCCGTAGGCCCCGTATAAAAGGGGGTCGGGTAGCTGTTTCCCTAAACGAGACTCTGCCCTTCGACATAACCACGTCTGGGAATCCTCTCTGTCCGGAGGCAGAGTGATTGACCAGCACAGCTGGAGACGAATCTTCAACTGCAGAATATCTACCAACCGCTCCACGTGATCAGATGTGGCACAAGGCCGAATTTAATGTGGGGTATCCGAGCCCGTAGGCTCGGCCATAAGTTCCCCGTAGATCCCGTATAAAACGGGGTCGGGTAGCTGTTTCCCGAGACGAGACTCTGCCTTTCGACATAGCCTCATCTGCGGATCCTCTCTGCCCGGAGGCAGAAAGTGCAACCTGCACAACTAGCTAGCTAGCTAGATAGATAGATAGATCTTTAGACTTGATCAGAAACCACCGCGGCGTGAAACCGTCACTATGGATATTGATTTGTATGTCCACACCTCTGGTATTGTGTACTTTTCCTCTGTAAATTTCACAAGTTGTAGTATATAATTTAAAAAGAAAATGTTTAAATTTTTAATCTGCTGTACTTTTATGAATACCTGGAGAATGGCCAAGATTCAAACGAGGCCGACTGTAGTCGATATCCTAGAGTCATTGTAAATACCACAAACTGTCTACCAGCCAAGTTTGAAGAGTTTAGTCTGTTCTTCTATTTAACCGATAGCGGGAGGGGGAGAAGGGATGGATTCATACTTTTGCTAAGGGTGTTTGCGCGTAACTGAATGTAACGAACGCGACGGTAATTCGAACTCAACTCTCCGATTTCCCATTCCAAGCCTCTATCTTCCACCCGCACATCTGCAATTCAAGGAACTTTTGAAAAGTGCCCACTCTCCTATAAATATTTGGAAACTGGCCACAATTCAATTTTAGTTGATTTTGTTTAACTGCATATTAATCACTATAGGTTTTTAATGCCGAAATCTAAATATTTTGAATTCAGTTGTATGCCTCGAACTACAGATAAAATGTATTTTTTGTAATTCCACTATAAAAATCTATTTTTATACTTTCCTAATGTTAGGATTTTTTATTCTAGGGAGGAGATTCCCTATTTGCCCATAGCTGGGACCCTAACAGATGCTACCACCCCGAACAGGGTGGAGTTCGGAACAATAGCAATTAAAAGGGGTCACAATTCAAAGAACGTTTGAAAATTGGCCACACTCTTATAAATACTTGAAGTTTTGGCACACTTCTACAGGTTGAACACTTAAATTTACGGGCTACACTCATCGGCAGGTTGATATTACTTACACTTCTATGAACACCTGGAAATTGGCCATAATCTTAAATGTCTTACTGTCAATTATCAGAAGAGGAGAAATGTTTTTCGAAAGGCCGATTTACTTTAATGTTTTTCCTGAGAAACTTTGCATGTGTTTTGTGTATATGTGCGTATGTATATATAAAGAGAAGAAAAAAAACGTGCGGATGTATATGCGTTCGTTGCATGCGATTCCATTGTGCAATTTCTTTCTATTTGTTTTGTCTCTATTCCCCTAAGCGCTGGGCTCAGATAATCCATTTGTTATGCTATAGTTTCAGCAATCGACGTTTACCGGGGCTTTTAGTGAGTGCCTGTTGCTATAAAAAAAGAAAAAAAGAAGAAAGAAAGAAAGAAATTCACAAACGCCATGGGAAGAACGTAAAAAATACCAAAGCGTAGTAAAATGGTGGTAGATGTTGGAATGGGGTTGTCGGTCGTGAATTGTGAAACAACAACCGGGACTCAAAAGAAAAAAACAAAGATGGTCGGCCTTTTTTCCTTACGTATTTTTTTTTTATTTATTTATTTATTTTATTTTTTTTTTTTGTATTAAAAAAATAAAATAAAACTAGCAGGATTATCGGTGTATATCCGCCACCATTAAGTATAATTAACGCTTGTAGGTAAACATAGATTCCTACGTAAATAGTGTGTAGATTTGCCTTTATTTCATGTGTATACATATATATCTAAATACAGATGCCCTGGTATGGACCACTGTAGTTGGATAATTACTGTGTTTCCTATATCTGTGGCCTTGTAGCTGACTAAGCTATGCTTGCTAAATATTCACAATGTTGTCGGTTAGCAAGCTCGTCTCATAGACCAATTCACATGTGTAATGAATATGATACTCACCGGGCGACCCTGGCCTCTAGCGAGATGTCAAATTAAGCTAAGATTAATAAGTAACCCCACGCGCAGGCGCAAGGTGAGTATGATAGTTGG